GTTCTTGATATCTTCCCATAATTCATCTGGCTTTCGGTCACTGGTGTTCAATGCATCAAATCTATTCTTTAGATGATCTCTAAATTCAGGAGGGATATACTACACCATAGTGTATTATAATTATCTGTGTTTCCCTCCATACTTTTAGCCTCTGAACTGTAGGAACCATCCCTTATTCATCTTTGTATTCCCAAAGATATACCCTAAAATTTCTGAAAAAGGAATATTAATTATTGCTATTATATTACCACAAAAGATTGTTTCAAAGATATATTACATGTAAAAGCATACTATGAAGATCTGGGTAATGATCAGAAATTACTATTTTTTAAATAGCCTTCTAAACGAGGATGACTCAAATTTGCATTCCTTCAACATACATTTTCACTAAGCACTGATGTTAGTGAATCAAAATGTATAAAACAGACATGGAGCTTAAACCAGGGGTGGAGGCTGGGGGGCTGAAGAAGAGACAGACAATAAACAAATGAATAAGGATAAAAACATCATGGGTTAAAAAGTGCTATGAAAACAAAGATAGAGGGTAGAAGAGTGATGGCATTATTATTATTATTCTTGTCTTTTAAACTGGGTCTATACTGTTCTTCATACAGACTTCTACATCCTAATTAACATCCTCAAGAACTGCTAAAGGCCATTTCCTTCAAACCAAGTGGTAACTTACAAAATAAATATATTTCACAAATCTTGGGTGAGAGACATCTGGCTAGTGACTGACTATTTATATAACATTTTCCAAGATCTCCTAAGTAAAACTCCTAGAAACACCTAGAAAGTCTGGTTCATGAGAACTTGAAGTTCTGTTTTGCATTTTCCCCCTTCTGTCAGGATTCATCTATAGAATCTTCAATCAAAAATGTCATTGTTGACTTTTTGGAGCCCTGGAGGCTGGATGAACCCTAAAATTATTCCCATAAGAATAAGGTTTTATTTAAACCTTAAATAAAAAATATTCCCTGAAGTCTTCTTAAAACCAGATAATAACTAGTAAACAATCTGCCTTGTGCATTATGCTCTTCAGGAGCTCTGGTGACATACTGCTTCAGGCGTTAGACTGCTAACCAAAAGGCTGATGGTGCAAACCCACCAGCCAGCCACTCCTCAGAAGGAAGACTAGGCAATCTACTTCCGTAGAGATACCGCCTCAGAAACCCAAGGGACTCGAGACAGTGAGTTTGGTTTGGTTTGGTTTATATAGGGTCAAACTGAAAACAGCAACTTGAAAACTTACGTAAGAAACTTAGGGGGCAGTGAGTTTATGTTAATGAGGAAGGAACAACTCAGAAAATAAGGGTGAGAATGGCTGCACAACTCAAACGAGTGTAATCAATGTGACTGAATTGTACATGTAGAAACAGCTGAACTGGTGTTAAAAGTAAATTGGTATATGTTTTGCTACATAGCAAAACATATCAACTGTATCTATATCTATATTTATATCTATATCTATCTATCTATCTATCTATCTATATGAGCTCTGGTGGTATAATGCCTAAGGCATTTGACTGCTGAGCAGAAGGCTAGTGGTTCAAACCCACCAGCTACTCCTCAGAAGGAAGGTTGGGCAATCTACTTCCGTAGTGATACTGCTTTGGAAACCCAAGGAGGGCTCTCTATGAGTCAGATACGACTTGACAGTAGTGCATTTGTTTTTTTTTCTTGGGGGAGGGAGGAAATAAAAGAAAAATTGTTAACTATTTCTAAAAGTAAACACAGCAAGCAGGAATACTTACTATACATGCTATGGTTGCAGAGTAAGGGGTTCCAGTAGTCTCAGGTAGTTATGAGAGAGGGTTCACTGAGGAAAGACTTTCTGAGGAAGTGATGTTTAAACCCAGGCCCATGAAATAGACAGGAGTTGGCCAAAAATAAGAGTGATGTTTAAGCAAGAGAAAGTGAGGTAAAACACTCTAAAGAAAGAACAGCTGATGGATAGGTCCAGAGTCAAAGAGTTTGGCACATCTAAGGGAAGATACCCAGGAGGGCTGGAACCAAGGGGGTGGGTATGAGAACTCTATCTGTATGAGGCTGTGTGGAGCCACTGTTTAAAAGGAAGCAGGAAAGAGTCAGAAATATGAAGTAAACTCTACACTCATTTCCACTCCTTATCTGTTTAACTACCTGACGAGTTGTGGAAAGACATCAAGGACATCATATATGAAGAGAAGCAAAGGTCATTAGAAAGATTAGAAAGAAAAGAAAAGAAAAACAGATCTAAGACTTTGAAACTTGCTCTCGAACAAAGAGTAGCTAAAGCAAACAGAAGAAATGATGATATAAAAGAGCTGAACAGAGTATTTCAAAGGGTAGCTCAAGAAGACAAAGTAAAATATTATAATGAAATGTGCAAAGACCTGGAGTTAGAAAACCAAAAGGGAAGGTCATGCTCAGCATTTCTCAAGCTGAAACAACTGAAGAAAAAAAATTCAAACCTTTTGTTGTGATACTGAAGGATTCTATGGGCAAAATATTGAATGACATAGGAAGCATTAAAAGAAGATGAAAGGAATATACAGTCACTATACCAAAAAGAACTGGTTGATATTCGACCATTCCATGGGGTAGCATATGATCAAGAACCAACGGTAGTGAAAGAAGAAGTCCAAGGTGCACTGAAGGAACTGGCAAAAAAAAACAAGGCTCCAGGAATTGATGGAATACCCACTGAGATGTTTGAACAAATGAATGCAGTGCTGGAGGCGCTCATCCGTTTATGTCAAGAAATTTGGAAGACAGCTACCTGGCCTACTGACTACAAGAGATACATATCTGTGTTCATTCCAAAGAAAGGTGATCCAACAGAATGAAAATCATTATCAAACATCATTATTAATAAAATACATAAGTAAAATTTTACAGAAGATAATTAAAAAAAAAAATACAGCAGTATATCAACAGAAAACTGCCAGATATTCAAGCCAGATTCAGAACAGGACATGGAACGAGGGATATCACTGCTGATGTCAGATGATCTTGGCTGAAAACAGAAAATACAGAAAGATATTTATCTGTGTTTTATTGATTATGCAAAGGCATTTGTATGGATTACAACAAGTTATTGGTAACACTGGGAAGAATGGGAATTCCAGAACATTTAATTGTGCTTATGAGGAACCTGTACATAGAACAAGAGGCAGTCATTCAAACAGAATAAAGGGATATTACATGGTTTAAAATCAGGAAAGATGAGCATCAGGGGTGTATCCTTTCACCACTTACTCAATCTGTATGCTGAACAAATTGTCTGAGAAGCTTGATTAAATGAAGAAGAACAAGCCACCAGAATTGCAGGAAGACTCATCAGCAATCTGTGACATGCAATGACAGAACCTTGCTTGCTGAAAGCAAAGAGGACTTGAACCACTTACTAATGAAGATAAAAGATTCCAGCCTGCAGTATGGATTACTTCTCAACATAAACACAATAAAACTCCTCAAGCTGGACCAAGAAGTGACATTATGATAAATAGAGAAAAGATTGAGGTTGTCAAGTATTTCATTTTACTTGGATCCACAACACCATGAAAGCAGCAGTCAAGAAATGAAATGATGTTTTGCAGTGCACAAATCTGCTGCAAAAGACCTCTTTAAAGTGTTAAAGAGCAAAGATGTCATTTTGAATACTAAAGCGCACCTGACTTAAGCCATGGTCTTTTCAATAGCGTATAAAACCTGGACAATTTAATAAGGAAGATCAAGAAGAATTGATTCATTTTAATTATGGTGTTGGTGAAGAATACTGAAAATACCATGGACTGCCAGAAGAATGAACAAATCTGTCTTGGAAGAAATATAGCCTGAGTGCTCCACAGGAGCAAGGATGATAAGACTTTATCTCTCACACTTGTATCATGTTATCAAGAGGGACCATTCCCTGGAGAAAGATACCACACTTCGTAAAGAAGAGGGTCAGCAAAAAGAGGAAGACACTCAATGAGATGGACAGACACTGTGGCTGCAATAAGGGACTCAAGCATAGCAACAGTTGTGAGGATGGCACAGGACAAGGTAGGGTTTTGTTTTGTTGTACAAAGGATCACTATGAGTTGGAACTGACTTGATGGCATATAACAACAACAATCCTTTAAGCAAATGACTGTCACAATTCCCTTGTGGGACCAATGGAGTAGTAGAAGAAGGGGGGATGTTCTGATGTTTCTTAATGATTAAAGAATATTTTGATGAAATGCAAGCAATAAAGATTATCAGCTAGGTGTTATTTTTTTTTTTTAAACTTATATTCTTGCTCTGCAGAAGTATCTTTTGAAAAGGAAGCCTGTAATGGAGTCAAAAGGCTGTATCGGAAGCATGGTCAGAACTTCTCCACTGACATGGAGACTAAAGTTGATGGAAGGAGAGCAATCTGATGGGCGGGGAGCCTCAGTCTCCTCACTCAGTTAGCCGAGGCAGTTCTCAGAGTTGCTAGGAAAGACTGAGCTTTAGGTTTCTTTCAAAAAGAAAGAAACACACAAGATGGGAATACAGGCCTATCCAAGGCTTTAAAAAATAAATGTATTTTCCCACTAAATGTGATGAGCTCTAATGCACTAAAAGGACTATTTAAAGAATCAATTCATTTTAAAAATTATACCTTTATATCACAAATCCCAGGAAAAACCCGTTAACTGAAAATCAAGTTTGGGTTCTCAGCTGATGATAGACAGTATATTGTACAGTAGTGATCAAACACATTGCCTTTGGCACCAGACTACATCAGTTGAAATCCCAGCTCAACCAATGACTAGTGGTGCAACTTAATGTCACTGTGCCTCAGTTTTCTTCATTGTAACATGGGAATAAGGGTAGTATCTACCTCACAAGGTTAGGAGGATTAATGAGGCAGAACATGTCAAGTGCTTAGAATAGTACATGATCTTTAACAAGCTCTGGTAGCGTAGTGCCTAATGCACTTGACTGTTAACCAGAAGGCTGTTGGTTCAAACCCACCAGCCACTCCTCAGAAGGAAGATGGGGCAATCTACTTCCATAGTGATACTGCCTCGGAAACCTAAGGAGGGGTCGCTATGAGTCGGGTCTGACTCGATGGCACATAACAACAACAACAACTTTAACAAACACTCAGTAAATGTTAGCTATTACTAGTCAACTAGTCATCTGATATGCATTTTATGACTCCAAAGCAAATGTTTCCTACAGAACTTTGCCTACCAAAAAACCCATAATTATTGAACCAAACAATAAGTCTAAACAAACAAAAGACCCCAAATTCTCTTCCCAAAGTCTTTTTATAGGATGGAACACTAAAAGCTGAAGAAGAGAGCAGACTTACCAGTGGTACCAGTAGGACAATTGGTGCATACCACTTCCTTTGTCTTGGGGACAACAGCACAACTTGAGCCCCCAGGACATGGGCAGGGTTGGCAATCAGAAGAGGTGCCCGTGGTTGAATCTCCATAGTACCCATCACTACACTTTTCACAGTGGGGGCCAGCTGTGTTGTCTCTGCAGTTGCAAACACCTATTTGGAGAGGAGGTGTGAGAGAACAGGCAAGTGTATTAGCAAATAAGACAATTACCACTTCCTTCCCATCTGCTAAAGAGAAATAAGATCCAGCAGCTGCCACAGATCATCTTCTTACCTGTCTCAGGGTCACAGGTATCACTGTGTCCATTGCAGGTACAAAGTACACAGGGACTGTATGGTCCAAGACTTGGTGTTTCTCGTCTGTAGCCTGAGATGCACATCTCACAGAACTGCCCTCCATATCCCACAGGGCAGGTGCAGGACTCCACCCATGTTGCAGGGACCCCAGGCCCAGGACGAGCACTTGGCATGGTGACATCATCCAAATACCCAGTACCTACATATGGTATGGAGAAGAGAATCAATGAGCTGGCTTCTGTTTTCCAAAAGTTCAGGGAAACTCAATAAAGCTAAGGAGGAACCAGATCCAAAATGCCAGGGAAAACCAGCCAGTAGGTTTAAATCATCCACTGAACAAGAAAATTAGAAAACAGTATTTAGAAGAATTATGTGGTGTATGGTGCTAAGTGTCAAGTGGTGGTAAAGCAAACTTGTATTTTTAAATACACACACACACACACCTGAATTTGCTAGCATCACAGTTCTTCCAATCATCAATGTGAAAAATAAAAAGCATGGGGCACTCATTTGGGGGAAGAAGAGATATGAGCAAGAATCAGGGGCAGACTGTAACCATTAAACGATGTGTTTATTCTTTTGCTATAGAAGTAGGTACTGCCTATAGAGTTCAAGGATAACAAAGTAGGGAAAGCACCTGTCACCAAGTAACAGGTTATGTTTTTGCCCTACATTGAACAGCAAAACCAAGTAAAAATCAGTAAACCAGTTGTCATCAAGTCAATTCTGACTCATGGTTGATACCATGAGTGTCAGAGTAGAACTGTGGCTCCAAGGGGTTTTCACTGGCTGATTTTTCAAAAGCAGATTGCCAGGCCTTTATTTAAACCGTGGTGCCTCTGGATGGACTCAAACCTCCAGCCTTTCTGGTTAGTAGCCAAGAACGCCAACTATTTGTACCACACGGGGTTACTTCTGACAACTATGCAATTATAACAAAGCCATTAGGCCAAACGCTGTACTAATGCTTTCCTATTTCTCTAAGAAAATAAAAATAGGGAAAATTTTATATGGCTAGCATCAGTGGTTCATTCAACCCAGTGGTGCGCTGTATAGCATCAGCAGGAATTGTCTACAGGAGGGAAATTCTTTACAATATATGATTTCCTTTTAAAGCAAGCATTCCACTCTAGCCTCTTGCAGTTTTATGGTTAAAGTGTATTTCCCCATGCTATAAATATCACTTGCTGTTTATGTAACTTATTTAGAAATTGACCACCTAAGGCTAAAGGACATCTCTTCTATTATTACCTTGAACTTAGTTAACTTTTGATGTTTATGGGGTTTTTTTGCCCAGTAAAATTATGAGATACATCTCCATTGGTTAAAGTGTTTCTAACTCTATCAAACATTCTTAAGTCTCCCCATTCTAAGAATAGATTTCCTTCAATCTTGTTCCTATTCTCAAATTATAGTCCATCTCTTTTCTTTCCCTTACAGCCAGACTTCAAAAACAACAGCCTTTATTTTAATTCTTCTTCAAGCATCACAATCCAACTTCAGTCTCAACATCAAATAAAAAAAAAAGAGTAATAACTTGAGCCCCCAGGACACGGACAGGGTTGGCAATCAGAAGAGGTGCCCATGGTTGAATCACCATAGTACCCATCACTACACTTTTCAGAGTGGGGACCAGCTGTTTTGTCTCTGCAGTTGTAAACACCTATTTGGAGAGGAGGTGTGAGAAAATAGACAAGCATATGAGCAAATAAGATAATTACCACTTCTTTCCCATCTGCTAAAAAGAACTAAGATGCTTAATCATCCAATTACAAATCCAACGGTGCTAACTTTCTGAATCTGTTTATTGTATCTTCTACTTTAAAATTCTTTTTCTTCCTTGGGTCTCAGGGCATGGTCCCTAACTGTCTTTCCAGGATTCAGTTCTCTTCTCTATTAAAAATATAGAAAGAATATTTCTATTTTTTGTCATATTTCCAAATTTAAAAATTATCATCCTTATGTTGACAACCTTCCAATTCTAGGTCTTCAGTCCCAACTTTTTTCTAACCTTCAGAACCATATTTCTGCTTACAAGACACTTTCATCTGGATATTCCCACAGGCATCTAAAAAATTAACACACCCAAGCTACTGATGCCACTCCCCAAACCACACCACACCACGATGGGACTCTACCTCCCCCAAACAGCTGTACCTTTCTAAAGAAAATGGTCCTCATTGAAAATTATAGTGGGAAAAAGGTAAAGAACCTTAGAAGGCATTTTAAAAATAGCCTTGTTCAACTAAAATTAAAACAAATGTAAATGTGTTTTTGAAAATTTAGCCAATAGCTAAAAAGGCTTGATAATTCTTGCAGTAAGTAAAAAGAAAAGATGGCTAAGCAACTTGAATCAGTAGAATTATTCTGAGGCTTTTTAGAAGCATCTATTTATGTGCAATGTAACCTTAACAGGCTTATTAAGAATGAAAAATGCTATTTACTGAATTTAGCAAAATTTTCCCAGGTCCTAGAAAGTAATTTTTTAAAACGGCATTATTTTTACATATAATTATATTATTTTTACATATAATAAGATGGTTTTTACCACTTCAAGTTCATTGTTACAGCATTAGGACTTTAGTGAGAAACTTTTGTGTTATTATGGATCCTTCTTCCTATCTTCTCATGCAGTTCTCCTAAATTATATCATAACTTACTTTGCTCACTGTATGTCCCACGGATCTTGATAGATGTCAAGTTGTTGAGGAGTTTCTGAAATTCAAAAGGGGTAAGAGTAGGTCTCCAAGGGTAATCTGTTGCTTCATGGAGCCTGGAGGGAAAGAAGGCCATATTAACCTCTGTAAGGATGATCCTGGGCTCTGAGCAAGCATCTCTTCCTCATTTATGCCCCCAACAATGCAATGTCCTGACAACCTAACCAGGTAAGAAAGGAGACTGGTGGTCTAACAGTACAACTGGAAAAAGTAAAGGCTAACACAGGGAAGGCTCCCTCTTTTACAAAGTCACCTTGACTTTAACATATACCTCTAGGCCAGATATGCTTAGATAAAGAAACCACTTTCATGATTCTAGTCAAGTCAGATTTTACAAAGAAGATGGTCTTACCTAAAGATGTATTTCACAGAGGTCTCACTGGGATAGGAGTTGCCCTGTGCAATCAAGGGCACAGATACTCTCAGGCCTGCCCCCTCGAGCACCAGGTCTTCTGCAGAGAGGCGAGTGTCTCGCCTGTCCACTCGGAAAGAGAAGGAGAAGTTCTGGCCATAACTCAACATCTGGTTGCCCAAGAACTTCGCTGGAATGCAGAAACAATGGTGTGCAAGAATGTAAGAATGAGATATTAAAGGGAAAAAAAAAACACATCCAGCCAGACTGTTTCCTAACCTAACTTACCAGGAGCAATGAAGTACCTAGGAAAGTAGCTATCTGAGATGACGGAAATATCTTGCCTCTCAGAGGACCACTCAAGTGATGCTTCAGAACCGTCCCTCTGTTCCACACGCCACCCATCCTCATCTGGAACCAGACAATGAAAATATAAATGCTGTTACACTGTAAACATCATGAATTCAGGGAGTCGGCAGACAACAACAACATAACCACGAAAGTTCTATATAAAAGGATAGCATCTTACATATAGAAGGTCACCAGTAAGTTTTTTGAATAAATGGATTCTGTAATAGTACCTATATATGCTACATCCCTCAAGCTATATTTTGATTTTATGTAACCTTTCTACTCACTGGATATGTTCTAAAACCATGTATGTATTTCCATTAAGTGAAAAAGCCAAACAAGAAAAATCATGTATACTGAATAATATTGAGTCCTGCCTCCATCAAAAAACCCTCAGAGGTACTACTTAAAAAAAAAAAAAAAAAAAAAAAGTCTAATTTCACAGTTCTGGGGGAGAATAAAATGTTTGAATTACCAATCTGAAAGGTAGAGGTTACAGAATAAGCACTGTAGCCAACGGCATTTGTGCAGACAGAAGAATGTCCAAAGCAGAAGCAGGGTGTGCAACCCCTAGGGTTAGATGATTCCAGATTGAAAAATCCAGGTTTGCACCTGAAAGAGATAGAGACACAGTTATTTTTTTACTTAAAATATGACAGCAAAGAAAATACAATACAGCTAGACAAAGAATGGGCTACCTCTCACAACTGAAGCCTTCAACATTGTCTTTGCAGACACATCTTCCCGTCTCCACATTACATTCATCTATACTGCCAGAAGGATTACAAGAGCATGGCCTGTTGGATGCAAAAATAAATAAATAAAATAAAAATAAAGTGAAAGAAGAAGAGGGAGAAAATAAGTCCCACTCTTAAAGTCAACCTTCTGTTTTACATATTAATATATTTTTACTTTCTTAAAAAGGAATACACAATAGATAAAACGAATCCTGAAGTCATTTTTATATTTGGATTTGATTTCAATCAGGGATATTCACCCCATTTAAATATTAAAAACTCTGATCATTCTCTGTAGAAACCAAATCCCTCCTGACTCATCATGACAGCTAGAAGTCTTGAATTTTATTGATGATTATTGAGGGGAAAAAAATGCTCATACTGCTGCAGATAAGCCACAAGAGCGCTCATTATGAGTTGATTACTTTTAGATTCTGCACCCTTCTTGTGCTTTTAAAACATCTTACCTGCATCCTGCCTCAGTGAGGGAATGGAATCCAGGCTGGCAACGGTCACACTTGTCACCCATCACCCCTGGCTTACAGCTACATCTTCCATAGCTATCACACTGTGTGCTCAGAGAGCCTAGAATTCAAAGACCTTGTTGTTAGGATGAGTACCACTGTCAACTATCAATCAGACCAGATATGTAAGTAAAAACATCAATGTTAAAAAACAGTTTCAATTCACCCTATTGTTGTTAGGTGCTGTCAAGTTAATTTCTATTTATAACAACCCCATGTGACAGAGTAGAACCGCCCTACAGGGTTTTCTTGGTTGTATGCTTTATGGAAGCAGATCACTAGGTCTTTCTCTCCAGGAGCCGCTAGGTAGGTTCAAACTGCCAATCATTAGGTTAGAAGCGTAGTACTTAACTGTTTGGTGCCACTAGATCTTTACAAATTACCCTGTACCACGTGATAAATTACAGACAGAACCTGTCATGTCTCTGTCAAGTAAGCACAAGCTCCTTAAGGACCACACTAGAATTTAAAATAAAGCTCAAACTCCTGAAAAAGTACAAGGGACTAAGAGTACTTTGAATCTCTGAACACAGCCCAGCCCTCACAGGAGATTAGACTAAACAAAATTATTAACAAGGAGAAACTCACAAAGCAGCTAACCTTTTACAACCAAAGTTCAAATGGCCTCTATGATCCTGTTGCTAATTATTTACAAAACTGTTACTCAGACCAAAACCCACACTTTTATATACATTAGAAAATTACCTGAAAGTTTAGCTTGGTTAAAGAGTAGAGGTGAGGTTATGGCTAGACCCTGAATCATTTATTTACATGTTAAAATAATGGACACACTTCCATACTTAACTGTGCAAATGCCTAGGAAACTTTATTTTGGAGTGTTACAGAGAACTCTTTATTTTTCAACCCATCAGGGTGAAGCAGACTCTGCCTGTTACTTACCAACAGGACTACAGTGGCATGGCGAGCAGGCTTCATTGTTCCCAAGGCGGAAGAAATTCTCTCGGCATCTCTCACAGTTGGCGCCATCTGTATTACCCTGACAGTTGGTACAGTGGCCACCGTGTCCAGTGGAACGGTATAGTTCAGGGTCAAAGAAGCATTCATGTGATCGGCCATTGCAGTCACAGGCTGTCAGCCAAGAAAATATGAATTAAGTCATTTTTTTTTCCCCGGGGGGGGGGTACTTTTAAGAATAGGAACTTAAAGTTTTCAAAGAAAAGCAAACCACAATTTCCCACATCTCTGTGACAGAAAGGTGGTGGCAGAATAAGAATGACTATAGATGCATCCTTCACAACAAAAGCAGTTGTCGATAAAACGTTTATATCACCAGGTTATCAGCTTATTAAGAAAGAGTTACCCTTATTAAAAGAAAAAAAAAAAAAAAAGGCACCATCATAATATACAAAGAATTCCTATACTTAGTAAGGAATCTGCCTCCAAGTACTTGTTCAAACTCAAGTAAAAGCCAAGTCAAATTCTAATTTTGCTGAGTCTCTATACTTTGTTCTAACATCAATTCTAATATCCATTATCAAGAACAAGTTGCTAATTTACATGTAGACTGCAATTTACCTTAACTTTTTAAGCCCCAGAGATTCAAAAAACATAAGACACTAACTTTCAAAGTGCTACATTACCTGCATATCCAGACTAGTGTAACCTCAGGTAGTGGATTAAATTTAGTGCTTCTGTAGACAGAAATAAAATTATAGGGAAATCTGAATCCACCAGATATACCCATTGACTGGGGAGCCCCAATTCCAACTGTGTCATCTGTTGTATAAATCATATTCCTTACAGAGGACAATCATGTTTTAAGATGACCTAACGTCATTTCTGTAGTGATACCACCTTGCAAACCCAAGGACGGGTTGCTATGGGTCAGACCTGACTTGACGGCAGTAGGTTTGGTTAGGTTTAAAGTCACAGAAATTTACTATATTAAGATGATTTTCTCAGAATTATTGATTCTGTCCCAAGTATAGGCAGCATTTTGAGCAGTAAATTACATGGCTTAAAAACTATACTTTTATCATTTAAAAATGTGGTTTCAGATAGAGGGTTGTAAATTATTTTAAAATTTTTGAATATGTGTATGTTCTTTTTTTGTTCTTCTATTCCTTAATCATCAGTGGGTTGTTTTGTTTTTTTTTTTTAATTAGGATTTGGGTGAAGATTTACAGAGTAAATTCACTTTTCATACAGCAGTTCACATATACTTT